GAGGCTGCCCTTCGCTTTCGACTACTTAGACAACAAGGTTACTTTGTCCCAGTAGGTGTGTGCAGAAGTGCCAAATCCGAACCTGTTTTACTTAGACTAAAGAGAGTATTCTGTTCTGTTAAGTAACTAATGGAAATGGTTTTGAAGCAGGAGTGTTTGACAAGTTCAAGGACAGGGAGGGCAGTTTCAGAAATGAACTACGCAGGGACATCAAAGGATTGATGGAACTGTATGAAGCTTCACAACTAGGCGTAGAGGGAGAAGATATTCTTGATAGAGCCAAAGAATTCAGTTCCCAGGCCTTGAAAACATGGCAAAGTAGAGAACTGGACCAGTTCTCTGGAAGAGTTATAAAAACTACGCTGGACCAACCTTATCATAAAAGCCTATCAAGATTCACAGCCAGAAACTTGCTAACCAATGTCCAAGGTACAAATGGTTGGATAAATGTCCTCCAAGAACTAGCTAAAATGGATTTCAATATAGTCCAATCTTTACATCAGAAAGAAGTCGTTTGCATTTCCAAGTAAGATTTATATCAGAATCAACACAAACCAAAAGCCTTTCTAGCTCTTTTTTTATCCCTCAACTCTAATTTGCTTGTATGATTGATGAACTGCTTAGTTGGTGGAAGGACCTGGGTTTAGCCAAGAAGTTGGAGTTTGCAAGAGACCAACCACTGAAATGGTACATTTGGTCCATGGCTTCCCTGATTGATCCAAACTTGTCAGAGCAACGGATTGATCTGACAAAACCCATTTCCTTAATCTACATCGTCGATGATATTTTCGATGTTTATGGGACACTCGATGAACTCACTCTCTTCACGCAAGCTGTCGATAGGTAATGCATCAGAATTACCATAACTATCATGCACGTACAATTTTTTCCTTTTTTAGTAGCATTAAACTCACAAATTCTTTCATAATTAACTTGCATATAGATGGGATTACGCTTCTACTGATCGATTACCAGATTACATGAAAATTTGCTTCAAAGCTCTTGATGATATCACTGATGAAATTAGCCACAAGGTGTACAAGGAGCACGGGTGGAACCCTGTCATTTCCTTAAGGAAGGCGGTACGTGGGGTTTGATTAATTCTAAAGCCAGTTAATCCAAGGAAAAAAATGTTTATTTCTTTAATTATGATGCTAAAAAAGGTCACAAGAAAAGGCCATCTTGATCTGAAAAGCATATTGTGTGTTATAATCAAGTTTTAATATGATTTTGTCGCTTGAAAAAGTAAAAAGTTAATCCTAAAATGAATTTTTTCTAATATCCATGGCATGCATATCTTTTTGGGTGAAAAATTCTCTTTTATACCTGTATAACTTATAATTAAGTTGGGTATGTATTGCAGTGGGCCACTTTGTGCAGAGCATTTTTGGTAGAAGCACGATGGTTTGCTTCAGGGAAGTTGCCAAAGGCGAAGGAGTACTTGGAGAATGGGATCACTAGCTCAGGAGTTCATACAGTCCTGGTTCACATCTTCTTCCTCCTTGGCCAAGGCTTAAATAATCAGAATGTGGAACTCATTGACAGCAATCCTGGCATGATATCATCCACTGCAACAATCCTTCGACTCTGGGATGACTTGGGAAGTGCCAAGGTAGAACCTCAACTGGAAATCCACATGCAATTAATCAAAGTGTCAACTCTCGTTTGTTAAACATGTTAAACATGTTACATTTTATTGTAGGATGAGAATCAGGATGGGAACGATGGATCCTATATTGAGTGCTACATGAAGGAGAACCAAGGCGTTGAGGTTGAAAGTGCTCGGAAACATGTTACCAATATGATATCTAACGCTTGGAAGCGCCTCAACCGCGAATGCCTCTCTCGAAATCCATTTTCGTTGCCTTTCGCCAGGGCTTCTCAAAACATTGCGAGAATGGTCCCTCTGATGTACAGTTACGATGAAAACCAATGCCTTCCAAGCCTGGAGGAGTACATGAAGTCCCTGCTCTATAAAAGTGTACCCATGAAAGACACGATGTCTGCCTAACAACTCTACCATGTCACATATACATAAACCAACGTTTTGTGTGGATGAAGATTAATTTCAAGTTGAGAAATTTTATGCAAAAATTATTTGTAACTTCTAAAAAGGTAAAACTTTTTATAAGTTTAGCTATATGTTACCAATTCCAGTTGTAAACATTGTTTGTGGAACGCATATATACATCAGATTATAAATGTTGTTGGAGCAATCAAGTTAGGACACATATTCTTAATTTTTGCCATGTGCATCGTGAATGTAAATAATCAATGACTTTTACAAATTCTGCCATGGCAACGTGATGGAAAGGTCTAAAACTCTAAATGTATCCACTTGCTTCAAACCAACGGTTGTAACTTGTCAGCAGCAGGGAACTTTCATTTGCTCTATTTGTTATTGACACATCTGATTTGATTCTCAACCGCCACTTTACTATTCCAGACTACACTAGGGCAGGTGCAGGACAATCAGTTAAAAACAAAACATGAAACCCACTTGAATAATTCATTGCAGTTATTTAAATTGTAGAGAACGTCTTCCACTTCCCTTAAACCGCCTCTTTAGTTTGCTGTTTGGGATCAATAATAGGAGTTTGATGCTGATGGATTCAATACTCGAAAATTTTACATGAACAAACATATTTCTTTTTCTTCTTTCCTTCAACGTTTTCCATCCACATATATGAATTTGTTTCACTATATCAAGACTTGAACTCAGGGGTGTGGATAGCATTATAACAGCACTTGAAGCGTGCGTCCATATCTAATGTAATTGGGTAATTTGACTTATTCGACCTTTCAATACTCGTTGCTTTGATTGTGTTTCAAATTTGTTGGGTAAAATGCTGAATTTCTCTTTCAAAACCACAAACAATTGGACATGGAAATTAAGAGAAATATCTAATCCGAACAAGGACTGTATGTGTGCTGCCGCCCAACATGGATGCATTTGCTTTCCCCTTTGGTCTAGCTAGATGTATATTGTTTGCGACCATATTTTACCAACTTTTAGGGTTTAAGACCATTAAGAGTTGATGTTAGAATCGACTATACATGGTATGAAGAATCAAGGCATTGGCAATATTAATGGTTGAAGTTGAATACACATGTCACTCATGTGATTTTGAACATATGCATATAAAGTACGAACGAAAACATGTTAGCCATATATATAACCATGATCTTGAATTCATGCATATTATGTAAAAGAGGCAAAATCGAATCTCGGGAGGGAAATTCTTGACGTTACCTTTTGCCTATCTAGTCAACCTTATACAGCTCATATCTTTCATCCATGGCTTT